TCTCAGGGGCTGCCACAAAGAAGAAGGGGGCAGTCACGCTATTCCCCAAAGCACCAGAAGGCAGGACAAGAAGCAACGGATGGAAACTTAGCAAGGAGTGATCTAACCTAGAACTAAGGAGACATTTCCTTATAGTTATTAAAACAATTAATTAGTGGAATGGCTCGCCTCTAAAAGTTGTGGGTGCTCCAACACTGCAGGTTTTTAAGGACAGACTGGACAACAATTTCTCCCAAATGGTTTAGGGTCCCCTGTTTGAGCAAGGGGTTGGACTAGAAGACCTCCAAGGTCCCTTCCAACTCAAGTTATTCGGCTATTCTATTAAGAAATGTCAATGAATTCCTTTGAATGTTCTCAGAAGTGTTGACATAAACATGATCAGGTAGAATAGCTCCTACCACAAACTGCTGATGGTTGTTGTTTCTCCAAACCCTGAATTTGTTTTAGAAATCCATCTGAGCCCCCTTTTTTTGCAATTGACTCGGTATTTATAGCCTTCCGGCTCTCTTCTCTGTCCCTTCAAGCATTCTTTAGGTTTTGAACTTCCTTTCATTACCTGCTCTCCCATTTTTTCTCTGTTAGCCTTTCCCGAGGAGCCGCCAAAGTTCAGACTAAATTTCAAGATCCCTTTCATCTTTTGATGCCTGGAGGGATGGCAACGTATGTTTTAGAAGAAACGTAGCCCGGGGTTTTATAAATGCACTTTGACGTTCTTTCAGACCAAGGAGATAAGGCGATGTTGGGGGTGGGGGGGAAATAAAGAGAAAGATCTGAAACAGAAATAACTACCTTTTTATTATAAGTAGGCCAGGTTTGTTTGTTTGTTTTTTGATACGGTCCATTTGCTAATTCCACACCTGGGACAACAAAAATCGGTTGATCTTTTGTTCTTGGATGAAAAGATAAGTGCCCCACCGTTGAATGCCAACTGGAACCAATCCTCTGGATAATCGTGGCTTATGCTACTCACTGGTTGTCCAGCCAACAAGCAGATTCAATTTCCCTTCAAAGATTTAGTAGAGCGATTCCATTATTTTTAAACTCCAGTGGATCTTTCAGCAGGCATTAGAGTTCATTCAACTTTCTTAGGGAATGATCAAAATGCTTCCCCTTCTAAAAAAATGAAGAAGAGTTCTATGAGATAAATAAATGACCTCTGTGATCATATTAAGAGCAACTGCGTTCTTTTCTCTGATGAGGTAAAGCTGTTCAATACTACAGACAATACTGCCACCCTTCAAAAAGATCTTGACTATGTATCAGAATGGTCAAACAAATGGCAACTTCAAATCTCAACAAATAAATGCTCTGTCTTACATATTGGCAAAAAAAAATCAGAAAATAAAATACAAGCTGAATAGTCAAGACCTTGTTGATGATCCAAGCTCTGTCAAGGACCTTGGAGTACTCATCTCTAATGATCTAAGTGCTAGAGCCCACTGTAACTCCATAGCCAAAAAGGCATTAAGAGTTGTTAACCTAATCCTACGTAGCTTTTTCTCTGGTAATATCACACTACTAACTAGGGCATACAAAACATTTGCTAGACCAATACTCGAATACAGCTCATCAGTCTGGAACCCACATTACGTATCTGATATTAGCACAGTTGAGAAAGTCTAGAAATATTTCACAAGAAGAGTTCTCCACTCCTCTACTCGTTGTAGAATACCTTATGCCACCAGACTTGAAATTCTAGAACTTGAAAACCTTGAATTACGCCGTCTTCGGTCTGACTTAAGCATGGTATATAAAATCATACATTGCAATGTCCTACCTGTCAATGAATACTTCAGCTTCAACCATAACAACACAAGAGCACATAATAGATACAAACTCAAGGTTAACTGCACCAAACTTGATTGCAGGAAATGCAACTTCAGCAACAGAGGGGTCAATGTCTGGAATACTCTACCTGACTCTGTAGTTTCTTTCCCAAACCCCAAAAACGTTAACCTTAGACTGTCTACTATTGACCTCACCCCTTTCCTAAGAGGTCTGTAGGGGGCGTGCATAAGCACACCAATTGTGCCTACCGTCCCTGTCCTATTGTTTCTTTTATTTTTCTTATATGTTCCCATTTCATGTATTCATAACTATGTATATACTTATACCTATTATCTTGTAAGCGATTGACAAATCAAAATAAATAAAATAAATAAAAAATAGAAATGGATCTCCTAAAACGGACCTCAGAGAAGACTTCTGCAGCCGTGTAGGTCAGCCTAAGGAGACTTTGACTGCGAGTAGGATCTACTCAATTATTTTCCCCTTCAGGATATTTTCTTCCCCCTCTGAACTTTCTTCCAGTGTTATTACTATCTCTAATAATAATCTCTTTCCCCAGAACAGAATGCCACAATGGAGAACAAAAGGCTCCATTATAAAATTAAAAGACAAAAAACCCAAACACTTATGATACAACTCACGATAATTATATAGTCATATCAAAATTGTCTACAACGGAGAAGATGATACAAGGAAGACGGGGGAGGGAGGGAACCCAACTCTGTTCTATCATGGGCCTACATTGTCAATTTTATTGGATGAGCAATATATTATTTTTCAAGGGGGGGTGGGGTGGAATAAGAACAATCGCTTAAAAATGTTGGAGCTTCCTTCGCTCTTAGATTGCAGCCAAATCTAATGTGGTTTTCGGGACTTGACTTGGGATGTTGTATGAATCCAGCCTTGTCAACTTATGGCTTAGATCCATGATGGCAAAACCTATGGCACGCAGAGCCATTTGTGCCGGCACGCGAGCCGCAGGCAAACTTACCTCACTGCACATGCGCGCGCCTCACAGCTGATTTTTCGGCTGGTTTGAGGCCTTTTTCGACCTCTCAGAGGCTTGAAAAGAGCCTCTGTAGACCAGATAGGCCTGTTTCATCACTTCCTGTAATGCCAGAAGTGACGAAACGGGCCTATTATTTGGCCTGCAAAGCCTGCAGAGGCTTTTTTCAAGCTTCTGGGAGGCCGAAAAAGGCCTCAAACCAGCCGAAAAATCATCTGTGAGGCACAGTGAAGGTAAAGGGGTGGTGGGATTGCACGCACATGCACAAGAGGTGGGGGGGATGTGCATTGCCTTCTAGGTACTGGCACATGAGCACGGGCATGCAAGTGCGCGCACAATTTTTGGCATCGGAACCCAAAAAGGTTAGTCACCACTGGCTTAGACCAAGGGTCTTCAAACTTGTCAAGTTTAAGATTTTGTGGACTTCAACTCCCAGAATTCCTCAGCTAACGTGACTGGAGAAGGAATTCTGGGAGTTGAAGTCCACAAGTCTTAAAGCTGTCAAGTTTGAAGACCCCTGGCTTAGACTAACACTAGACCACAAACCCCCCCCCCACACACACACAGTTGTGTCTTAGAACTAGACTAAACCTGACATTCTTGGTTTGGGAACAAGCATGTAGATGCACAACTATCAACCAAAGATTTCCCACTGTCTTAGGTAGGTGTGGGTCTTTTTCATCACCACCTAAAGGGATCAGAAATGCAACAGAGCCAACCTTAAGAAGCATGCCAGCTGGGGAATTCTGGGATTTGAAGTCTACCCAGCTTAAAGTTGCCAAGTTTGAAAATGTTTGCCCCAACTGGGTAAGAGATCGTCACTGAATCCGAGTCTTGAGGGTCATGGCCCACCTAGAGAATGAAGCTGCTGAAACTCTGCCCCATTCACAAGTCCCCTTCTCCAAATTGTCATTTTTATTCCAAAGAAGACCAGAAGAAGAATAGGCCGGCCAGTCTCTAAACTGCCCCTCCAAAAAAAACAACAACACCCTGTCTTCCACTTTAATGGGGACAATCAGAAAGCAAATGAGAAGAAGCATCAGGAAGCTCGGTGGCACTTGGCCAAATCTGCAGGACAATCTGCAGTTGCTGCTTTGAAAGATATTTGGCGCTTAGGATCACTCTGATGCATGGAGTCACATTTAATGGACTCTGGCACCCCCATTAAAGCATCCTTATTACCTAACCCACAAGCTGGAACCCCTTTTAGCCACGATACGTCACAATCCTATCCAAGGAGAAGGTTTAAATAGTGGCCAAGGAATTATGACGCCAACCCATTGGCACCGCCGTCCTTAGTATCTTCTTGATCATTGTTTTGTTGCTGTAATTATAATCCGCCGAGCCTTAAATTTTGAACTGCTCTGGATTACAACAAATATCTCGGGCATAATAAAAGCTTGGGCCTCTCTGGCTGCAGCGGAGCTGAAAAATGTTATTCTCCACTCAGAAATCTGAGGAGCAACCTACACATCAATTAAAAGAAACCGCAACATTCTTCATACCATTTCACTGGTCAAGTAGCCCTTGACTTGCCTGGTACACACACCATTTGCCACTCAATTGCCGGAGTGTGCTTCAGCGACCGACTGTATGAATTGCATTTTTGCACTGTCCAGCAGAAGAGGTTAAAAATGCATAATAAAACTGAAAACTGTGCTAACACAACACAGTAGCTCAAATCAATTAAAGACTGGGTGCAGGAGGAGTGCATTGGAAAAACACAACCTCGGAGAGATAAATGAAAGAGCCACTGAAAGGGAGAAAGAGAGAGAGAGCAAGAAAGGGAGGGAGGGAGGGAGGGAGGGAAGGAAGGAAGGAAGGAAGGAAGGAAGGAAGGAAAGGAAGGAAGGAAGGAAGGAAGGAAGGAAGGAAGGAAGGAAGGAAGGAAGGTGGGTGGAGGGGAAGGGGCATGGAGGGGACAGGGAGGGAGAGAAGGAAGGAAGGAAGGAAGGAAGGAAGGAAGGAAGGAAGGAAGGAAGGAAGGAAGGAAGGAAGGAAAGTAGATGGTTGGGGAATCCTGGGTGTTGAAGTCAACCCTTCTTGAAGTTGCCAAGGTTGTGAAAGTCTCAACCGGATGGCTATCGAAACCACACAAGGGGTGAACTAGGCTGATAGCACGTTGGAAAGTCCTGCATTTGGCACTGGATCGAACGGCTCTTCCAAAAACCGTGAAGCTGCTCTGACTGCAGAATTAGGTACCTACCAGCGATTTCAGGGTGGGACTGGAGATTTACGCCACCCTCCAGTTTGCCGCTGGCGCTGCTGGTTCCTCCCCCATCTCCACCTTCTAAAATCCTGATCCTCTCGCGGAGACGTTCGCACTCCTCCCGCAGATTCCCCATCTGCTCTTGGCGCTGTTGCTTGGCCAGGCTGGCGGGGTTCATGGAGAAATGGAGTACTTTGGTGCGACTGGGATCGTGACCACCCTGCAAGGCAGAAAAGCAGGAGTGGGGGGGGGGGGGGGAACAGCTTGTGAGGATGGACAAGTAGCTAAGAAACGGAAGCCAAGCTGGCTTGAACTGTGCCGGTGGAAAGGACCAGCTGCAAGCGAAGAGGAAAGGCAAATGCACCAGCCTGTCCAGGAGATGGTTACTTTACGCCTAGTTTATGCCATGTGTGTTATCTCCATGTCCAGAGGAGGAGGAGGAGGAGGAGGAGGAGGAGGAGGAGGAGGAGGAGGAGACTGAGAGCTAAGTAAGTCTCACAAGGAGAAGCAGAGAAGTGTTTGGCCTGAGAAAAAATGTTGATGAGTATCTGATAGCATTTAATCAAGTAGTATGGGGAAGTGTGGCATAAGTAGTATGGGGACACGGTGGTTCAGTGGCTAAGACACTGAGTTTGTCGATCAGAAAGGCCAGCAGTTCAGCGGTTCGAATCCCTAGTGCCGCGTCACGGAGTGAGCTCCCGTTCCTTGTCCCGGAGTGGGCAGGTGGTCGTGCAGGGCTGTGTGCGTGTGTTTGTGTGTGAATGAAGGTTTCTCAACCTCAATTCCTTTGAGAGGTGTGGACCAGAATTCTGGGAATTGAAGTCCACACCTCTCAAAGAGCTTGAGCTTGAGAAAAACCTGGCCTAATCAATTCTGACTCTCAAGTAAATACTCAAGAAGTCTACGATGGGGATAATCCTGGAAGGGCTGGGAAGGGACCTCGGAGGTCTTCTAGTCCAACCTCCTGTTCATCCATAGAATCCTAGGGTTGGGAAGGGATCTCGGAGGTCTTCTAGCCTGGCTCCCTGCAACCTCTGTGGTGCCCAGCAGATGGCCAATGAATCGGGGGGGGGGGGGGGGGGGAAACCATCTCGTAGCAAAAGACACGAACCTTCAGGAGAGGAAAAGCAGAGCGAAAGAAAAGATCCAAAGAATGGGTATTTAGAAACACAACAACACTCCGGGGATTTTCACCCTCCTTCGACGACGGCCACCCTGTTCTCTTCGAACTTCAAACCAAGTTAACAAGAGACAAAACAGAATCTGTCTCAAATTGCACCTCTGTTACTGCTGTTTATGTTTTGGTCCTTTCTTCGGGGAACAAGCCAGGGGCTAAACCCCAAGTAAACCCTGATGCTCCATTGCCTTTCTAGCCAGCAGTGCAAGCTTAGCATTCGGCTTCTGATTTCACACAGCAGCTGTTTGAAGAAGCAAATGGCAGACCGTAAGATAGCCTTCTTCGCTCTACCTTTCCTGAGCTGGCATGTAGCACAACCCCAGAAGCCTGGAGATTAAAGCTTTCCCAGCTGTGTTCAGTGCCCTCTAGTGTCTCGTCTCTAGCCCCTCATCCTGGCTAGACAAAGGAACCTGGCTATGGAAAAGACGGTTAGTAGCAAAGGAGTTTAGCCTGCCTGCCTGGCATTTTTTTAAAAAAAAATTCTTTGAAGCTCTCCACAAGAGGCGAGGGTTAAGGTCTTGCAGTAGCGGCTGCTGTCCTAAAACTATGAAAAAGGTGGGTGGGGGAAGGGGATCCTTGTCTACAAAAGGCCACTAAGAGGGATTGGCTTTTTTTTCCTGTGGAACTGTAGCATAAGAGAAACTGCTTGCATTTGTTCCAGGTCGATTCAGCCTTCCATCCTTCCAAGTTCAGTAACATGAGGATCCAAATTGTTGGGGGCAAGAGGCTGACTCTGTAAACTGCTTAGAGAGGGATGTAAAAGCACTGTGAAGCAGGATATAAGTCTGCTATTGCTTGGGAAGGAAGGAAGGAAGGAAGGAAGGAAGGAAGGAAGGAAGGAAGGAAGGAAGGAAGGAAGGAAGGAAGGAAGGAAGGAAGCCATGGTGGCACATTTGTTACAATGCAGTGTTGTAGGCTCTGCCCACTGCCAGCAGTTCAATCCTGACCGGCTTAAGGTTGACTCAGCCTTCCATCCTTCCGAGGTGGGTAAAAGGAGGACCCAGATTGTTGGGGGCAAGAGGCTGACTCTGTAAACCGCTTAGAGAGGATGTTAAAGCACTGTGAAGCGGGATATATGTCTGAGTGCTATTGCTTCTTTCCTTCCTTTCTCTCACTCCCTTTTCTCCTTCCTTCCTTCCTTCCTTCCTTCCTTCCTTCCTTCCTTCCTTCCTTCCTTCCTTCCTTCCTTTCTTTGCTTGCCATGGTGGTGCAATGATTAGAATATTTCAGGCTGACTGCCCACTGCCCAGAGTTCGATCCTGACCAGCTCAAGGTTGACTCAGCCTTCCATCCTTCTGAGCTTGGTAAAACGAGGACCCAGATTGTTGGGGGCAAGAGGCTGACTCTGTAAACCGCTTAGAGAGGGCTGTAAAAGCCCTGTTAAGCGGTATATAACATAAGTCTAAGTGCTATGGCTACTGCTATTTAAGGATGCGTTATACAGCGGTTCAGGGGAGCAGCTTTAGCTGGCTCAAGATGCAGATCAAAAGCGAGGAAAAAAAATATAACAGGCAGAAGATTCTCAACCACTTTTCCTCCCCCCCCCTCTCTCTTTTTCTCTTCTCAATGTTGTGCCTAACAAGCAGGAAACTGAAGTGTTTTTCGAGAGCTCCAAGCCAGCGATGTGATTTTTATTAAATCTGCCTTATTAGGTGCATTAGGAATCCTCGCTGTCTTCATCCCCAGGCAGACCCTTAGTGGCAAAGTCTTCCTGCTTCGTTGTTTTTTTTTGTTTTTTTTTTAAGGACGGCAATTTAAAAAAATGTGAAACTACAGATTTGGATTTAGAAAAACTGATCTAAATTGAGAGATTTGGATTTAGGGAAAATGCAGATCGATTTAGGAAATGTAGATAGATTTAGATAAGAGGGCTGCCTCTCCCCGCATCGTATCCACCCAGATGATTCCCTGGTGGGACCATGAAAAAAAAAGTTCTTCTCGGTGGTGGCCTCCTTCTCTACCGAAGACCATTCCCCTTGAGATACAGTTGTGGAGGAAGGAATCTGGAAGAGCAGAGCGGCGAAGTGAAAGTACATTCCAACTCTTCTCTTTAAAAGATTGTAACTAAACTACCAGAGCTTTTGCCTGCGAATATATTTAATTGGAGAATGTGAATGATGACACCCAGCCTATGAACGTGCTCGATTGGAGAATCTGATTTATGACACACCCAAGGGGGGAGGGGGGAAACAGGGTCACAGGGAACTGAAATGAGTTGGCCTCATACAGGCCAGTGCCAGTAGGTTGCCTCTAATGAATCCTTTGAAGTTTTTTGAAGGTTGGCTCGAGAATCATGATTTAATTAGTGCAATTGCTGGAATCCTGACAGATGTCTTGAAGACCTTGGCCCACAAATGGAGGTGGAAACGATCAAGTGGCTGATTTCATTGTGTTTGTCCCTGCTGTGGAGATCTTGGGGTTGCCTGGGTTATAGACTTAGGCATCGTGGATTTTATTGTTCTAAGGACCTGTGTTCTCTTAGGGCATCCAACCTGCCTTGCATTCATTTGACTCCAGGGAGAATGGAGGAGAAGAGGGATCTCCAAAATATGAAGAAGGTTCTCCCAAATGTTGTGTATGAGTGTGGGTGGGTGGGTAGATGGGTGGGTGGGTGAGGGAGAGAGAGAGAGAGAGGCAGACAAGGATGTTGAGACTCTAGAAAGGAGGCAGAGAAGACCAACAAAGATGATTAGAAGACTGGAGGCTAAAACATACAATGAATGATTGCAGGAATTGGGCATGTCTAGTTGAGTGAAAAGAAGAAGCAGGGTAGACATGACAGTAGTCTTCCAATATTTGTGGGGCTACCACAGAGAAGAGGGGGGTCAACTTATTCTCCAAAGCACCTGAAGGTGTCCTGCCCCTGGTGGAGACTGACTCTGAGGGAGAGGAGGAAAAGCTGACAGGGAGTGGAAGTGTGGCTCCGGGGGTTATGGAGGAGGATAAAGGAGAAACGTGTTCTACTCGGGAGGAGAGGGCCTTGATCCTCTTCATGGGCTGCAGCTGTGATAACTGAATAAGAGTTTGGACCTGCATACTGGCAAATGCTGGAAATAAAGCGTGTTTTATTTTGGTCTGAAGTTATCTTGGTTGGTGTCCTTCCAACAGACTATGCTTTGTTATCTCCTTGAATCTGGTAAATATTTCTCCTGTTCCCTTGTGGAAATTTCATCATTGTAGTTTGTTTGGTTTTTTTATTTCACCTCTATCTGCTCATTGAGTTCGGACTGTATTGCTATTCTTTTGAAGACTATTTTTGAGTACGTTTTATCTCCAACTGAGTATTATTGAACAGTGGGGCCAAATTGGAGGCATTAAAGGACATTTATTTACGTTTTGGATTTTGTTACGCTTGTGTTACACTCCGGTTCATCACAGAAGGCAGGACAAGAAGCATCGGATGGAAATTAATCAAGGAGAGAAGCAACCTAGAACTAAGGAGAGTGGGAACAATTGATCGGTGGAACAGCTTGCATCCAGAATGTGTGGATGCTCCAGAAAGTAGAAGAGATTGGATACCTGTTTGTCCAGAGTATTATAGGGTCTCCTGCTTGAGCTGGGGGGGTTGGACTAGAAGACCTCCCCAGCCCCTCCTGTTATCCTGATCTGGAACTGCAATGAGATTATCTTGGTGGAGTCAGCCTTTGGTTCTCAAAAGGCCCTGGAAGGACCCCTATTCTTTTTTACCCATCACGCAGCGTTTCCAAGGGGAAAACAACCCTCTCCCCGAAAGACAGTTGCGCCTTCCTTCTGCTTCCTCGCTCAAGGCTTGTTAAAGTGATTAGAGGAAAAAACGTACATGAAATGCTTCCAAACAGTTCCCCTGGGGTCCCGGCGTATGGCAGGCAAGCGTGCTGACCAAAAACCCCAATTCCCATCATTAGGTAGGACAACCAGCCCAGGGGACCCCCCCCCCTTAAAGCCCTCTGAACGATGGCGCGCTGTCATGCCGAAATGGCTTCCCACAACGATGCGAGGAAAACACGGAGACCCACCCACGCCTGGCCTGACAAAGCGGCCCTCTTTGATCGCTCGCCTTGTAC